AAGTATATTTGGTCGAGTTAGCTCGTTAGAGTGTGTTGGATAGAGTTTCATTATTCGCTATCTCCACCATCAAATCCTGAGCCCTGTGCTCCCATACACCACCCATTCTTTTTTCAGTCAGATGGAAATCGTGAGGCTATGCCGTGGATGAACATTTACTATATAAAATCTTCTGATTGTAAATGTATTGCGTCACGAAAGTTATATTATAAAAAATCTATTTTTAACTATTAACAAATAACAATTAAAATACAACAAAATTAATGCTGTACCATACAATTTCGAACGCAACTTTGCTAAGGTGCGATAGAATTACGACTAGGGGAAGGACGAGATTTGGTTAATTTTTTCAAGAAACAAAAACACGTATGAAACATTAAAATTTCACTTTATCCAGTATGTTGCGGGGATCGGGGACCGTCACCGACTTTTGCCTAGCCGTCTACATTTTCCTGGTCCCGATTGCAAAATTTCGTCCCCGACTTATTTTACGTCCCGGCAACATACCAGTTTTGACTCTTTTCTGCTTGTGTTCCGTCAAAAAAGCAGATTTTTTGATCTTTGAGGAGCAATAGTAAATTTCGTCGGATTCGAATCGTTTGATGTTCAGTGGCCAGGTAGCTTAATATATTCTAATTGAAACCATCTGAATGGTGAAAAATATTTGTTTTATTGGGTGAAGTTATTCTGAATATGAAACGTATGTATTTAACAGTATCAATAAAACGTAATACAAAATGCAACATGAGAAAATAACTAGGGCAGTGATACATATCAAGAGTTACCGGAGACGCTCGGTAACTCATATATTACCGCCCGGTAACTTCTGAGGGATATCAGCAGTTACCGGACAGTGATACCGGAATTTACATATCATTTAGTATTATCAATGTCACAATAACTTTCAGCTAAAATTAAACTGGATATTCATTGATGAACGATCCGATTCACAGGATATTCACAAAATCGATTACAATCCGTCAACTGATGCAGGGAACAGTGAGCCAATCATGTCGGTCCTTGGGCCATCCACATGTTTGACGATGCCTCTTTCGACATGATATATATTGTTTGGCAAGCGAATTGTGAATTTCGGCGATTTTGCATATATCCAATCGAAACTCCGTAAAAGTTCGTCATTTTCGCCTACTCCAGGAAACTGCTTCTCATCCATAACGTTTTCCACTACGCAATCTTCAGTCTCCTGAAAAAAAATTGACGAAAATAATCAAACGGGAATTTCTTTGCCAAGACACTGTTTCAACTGTGTTTGTTTTTGATCGTATATCTCAGAAGAAGCATGATGCGATGAAATAATTTACTGAATGACGAACTGATGCGTACTCGCCTCGTATTGACGTTTGAAAGCATCAGTGATAATGGCAATAACATTTTGGGTCGTTATTCGAATATCGTCTTGAGTCAGAAAACCAACTGCTGGAGCGCGAACACTCGCAGTTGCATTCGTGGTGATCACTCCCTGAAAGTATAAATTAATCTCAATCAAATTCATCACTGAACTGACACTCTGGTTCTAACATTGTGAACAGATAACGAAATGAATCAAAACTGTCAAATGTCACAAATGCTAGCTAACAATTAATTTTAACGGCTCGTCTAGAATACAATCGAAAAATTTAGAATGACGAGATGGCTGCTGAAACAGAGCAGAATGGATCTGTCAGAGTACTGTTCATCGCATGGGATTATTCGTTACCTCGAGTGGCGATTTTAGAGATTTTTTAAGTGTCGGCAGATCCGTGTCTACCAACAGCGACATATGATGATAGGCACGTCCATGCGCAATACGAGCTGCGGTTCCAGAAACTTTACGTTCACCAGGTTGAAGCCACAAATCGTCACGCGTATTCGGTATTAACTTGAATTTAAGCATCCACAAATTACCGAACATTTTCAAACGTTGTATTCAGCGTAATGATCTAAGCAATTTGATTCTGCGAGAAGGAACGAAACATTGACGGAAAGCCAAAAGTACTCACCTCAAGCTGGTAGGCATCGTTGAGAGCACTGGCGATCAGCTTCAAATTTGCTGCTCGATGATGATTTTTGTGTTCGGTTAGTATGGAGATATTCACGTTGCCTGAGAAATCATGATAACGCTTTCGGATGAGCGCAAAAAATGAAATGATGTGAAAAAGCGACCGAAACGTACCGAGATCATGGTAAACAGCGCCGCCACCACTGTGCCGTCTAACGATATCGATATTACGTTCCTTCACGAATTCAATATTTATTTCTTTCCACGGATTTTGATGCCTTCCAATAACGACCGTCGGATTATTACTGCAGTTAGGTCAACGACGTTCACTCGGTTGGTATGGGTTATTTAATCGAGTAAAGAAATTTTATAAGAACATATTAGAAAGAATGGCAACTGAGTGGAAGGTTTACCTCCAAAATAGGATCGCATGACCGAATTTCTCAATTTGGTGATGTCGGAACAACCATTCCTCAAATGCCAAATTTTCGAATATACTTTTTGAGAGTGAATAAAATATTCGAGCCCGTTTAACCATCGTTCCAACGAAATCAATCCTCTCTCGTCACAGAACTTCACACGTGCAATTTCACCACCGTTGTTTGCTGTGTTCTAGCATTCATTATAGTTTACACGCCCATAGGCAATCATCTTTAACGAATTATTTCATATGGGTCCTTGGAAGGCTCAATTGTTTATATAATTTTTCGACGTGAACGACGTTCCTCCCACTTTTTGTTGTAACTATTGTACGAGGTGAGTGATGAGCACAGAACTTTGATTAGTTTCAACACAACAGATATGATTATTTCCTTATCAGTGTTCTACTAGAAACGACTACACACGGACACAGCACTGGAAAGAAAGCATAAAAAACTCGCTTTCGAAAGTTACGATTAAACGAATTCATCAGTCAGTGAAGCGAATGAAGTTGAATATATTTATTGCGAATGGAAAACAACAAAATAACAACGAACAATCACAAACGTTTTCAATAAAGTAAAATAAATGAGGATAATCAATGTACTAAAATATCAAAAACGAATCCTTCATAGAACTGGTCGAGAACTCCTTCACAGCTCTGTTTTTTAGCTGATGGACTCATTCTGCATTATTTCATCGAGCTGCATATTCAGAAGGGTTAGCGCAACATTCGTATCAATGAAAAAATAGACGGGTAACTTGTTCAGGTATCCATTATTAAATTTAACTTTTGTTTTTGTTCAAACTTTTGTTCAAAGCAAACATGAAAAACGACAAATAATCGGAAAACGCGTGATGAAAACTGACGAATGAAACGAACAGAAATGTTCGACTGATGTATAAAGAATTTTCGGTAAACTTTCATGACAACTATGAACGAAAGTTTCAAAATTGAGGCAATATAGCAATAAAATCCAGAAGTAACGTACGTGAACTATTCATATCGCATTCAACAACATGAAATTAGGCTCCTTATATAAACATAATTGTAAACTGGTGACAACAGTGATAAAAAATGATAACAACAATAGTATATAGACAATTATTACAACACGTCATGAGACCATTCGAACGGATAACAATTGATTCATATGCTTTCATTCCTTTACCATCGATTAAACTTCAAGCTCACCCAAATAAATCTTCTTGTCACTGCCGGCCGAAAGTACTGAAATTAAATAAGTTATAAAATGAGACGAACATCGCAACATTTGGTAATACACAGAATAAAGTAACAAGCCCAATAAATCATAAATGCGGTACTAAACCTTTTCAAATATGGAACGAGACTGTGCTGCATCAAAAAAAAAAAAAAAGATAACGCCAGCCTAAAGGTAATATCAGCCTGTTTCAAGTTACATCACTGTATCATGCCCCATTTTCCTCGGAATAATCTC